AGGAATAGGGGGAAAGCTATTGGCTAACCGATCGTGTACCGGTAACAAAGTTCATAATGACGTGGCGATTGTTTGCATGCAGCATGATCTATGGACAGTCATAGAAGTCTATTGTTAACTAACAGGATGGGTACAGGTAGTGTTACTTTATTTGGAAATTCGCATCATGTTTTTGTAAAAACACTTACATAGTGAATCCTGGATATTTATCAGTTAGTCCAGCTTGGTCTTTTCAAGTAATAACATGTTATTATCAAGAAATGACAAGATCGTTTTCAAAATGATTTTAAAAGAAGTTTGATGTATGAACATGTTGATTATAGTGAACATTTATCATCATGATAAAAATTAACAAATAACTGAAACACTGATAACAGTTCCAGGAAATTACCACTGTATTCGAAGCAATTATCTTTTTATCTTTTTAAAAGTGTCTATCTCAAACCATGGATAATTGTGTCTAAAGACTTGATTTATTGTTCCTGAATCAGTTGTAGATTCAATCACCATACTCAGATATTTCGTCATATGGCTATGTGATGAAAGTATATGTTAATGAGCTAGCGTGCTAGCTCCTTGTTGCTTAATGTAAATATAATTTCTAACAGAAACAGACATTGACATTCGCCTGAGTGGAGGTGCAGAACCCAATGCGGGCCGTGTAGAAGTGTACTACAGTGGTTACTGGGGAAGTGTTTGTGGTTACAACGACTGGGATTACAGGGACGCTAATGTAACTTGCAGGATGATAGGCTACAGGTAATTCACGGATTGTTCCTCTAGTTGGCACTATTTGTAAATTAAAAAGCCGAAAAATAATTTGTCCTTCCTTCTATCAGAATGAACAAGTAGAACATGTATAATAAATATCAATGAATCGATATCCAAAACATTTATGTCCTTAAACAACAGGAGAATGCTAAGTGTAAAAATTTCAACTCGAAATCAATAAAAGTTGGACAAATATTTTTTCGAAAAAAAAATTAGAAACTATAAAGGTAGGGTAGGGTTGGTTGTCAAACAAGCTTAGTTAGTTTGCAAGCAAGACTTGTAATAGGTTTTGCAGACGAACATTACGTTATTAGAATTCTTGTTTGTTGACACAGCTAAATGTACTGTGTCCCTATCACAAACATGAAAAAAGTACTTTTATTGCGATAATTTAAAAGTAAAATGTTAAGCATCTTCTGCTGCATTGATGAGACCCGCCATGTAAATCTAGGTCAAATCTAACAAATGTCAGGTCCTTAAAGCGAGAACCGGGGAGAAAAAAACCAACAAAGCAGACGAATGAACATTATCAAGAACATCCTATTTCATTTAAAACACATATTTAGCATATTTCCCAATGGCAAGATAATGACCAAACTTCATCATTGCCAATTTTCCAACATATGAACACTTAAGACTTGAGATAAACAAATTATTGCTTGTAATAATGAAGGTTTTAATATACTCTCAGATACAATATCAAGGTATCATTTGGTATCCCTGTGGAGATATTTACATTGCCAAATTACTTTATTTCTATACTTATTTTTCAGTAACGGTCATCATATCTATCAGACAACCCGTTATGGCCGTCTTACAGATCCTGTATGGATGTCAGGTGTAGACTGTAACGGTACGGAGGACAGTCTAGCTGATTGTTCCTTTGACGGATGGGGTCGAGTTGGTTATTGCAGTAGTTACCCCGCTTGTGTTTTCTGTTATAACGTCACAGGTAATAGATCTTAACGCATTCAGATATTACAACTGTTGCCAAAACTTCAAAAACAAGCCTAGATATTTCTTTTTCTGTTACTATTACACATGTATATTACAATTATGGAGATTGACATTTGAAAAAAAAAATTATATTTCGACTTACCGAAAGACAAATTCTAAAATTATTACCGAATTTTGCAAAATTTTGAATGTATCCAAAATACGTATTTTGAAGTCAAATGATATGAACATGTCCTCGGTAGCAATATTTTCAGGGAAACATTTTTATCTGATGAAAGGAAGTACTTTTGGAATAAAAATGGCCATTATCTGACATCACAAATGCTGTATTTCTCATCGATAAATAAGCAACACAAAAATTACATTGGTGTAATTTTTGAATAATACGGCAATCATGTGATGCAGTTAATGCGTGTCATTCGCAGAAATACCATCCCATGGTTATGTAATGTAAAGATGCACATCAGCCGTGTACATGTACGTGTCCTTATTACGACAGTATGTGTACATCAAAATAAAATAAAAAAACACTTTGTATGCTTTCCTTCCATTTAGCATGATGGATGAAAACATGTTTTATATGTAGATCTATGCAAACCCCTTTAACGGGCAAAATATCAAAAATAAATAAAAGAAAAAAAACCTATCAGCCTTCAAAGTGAAGAAAGATTTCCCATCAAAAAACCCATTTGTTGTAAGTTAGACTGTCCTAGTTCTTAATGTATGAAGTTATTAAAATTTCAATAATAAAAAGTCGATAGAAAAACAAATACTACCGTTTCTGATCTTTTCAAAATTAAATTATTTACTGAACATTACATTGGAGGAAAACTTATAAACTTATATCTTTTGGGAGATACATCTTAAACAGAATTCTTTAAAATGTTTACAATCCAAAAAACAAGTTCCTTCTGAAAAGGGGTAATATATTAATTAGATTGATACGTATATATTGTCTTGAGCCTTTACATTTTGTGAATAACACATTTCTCTAACGAACAACTTTTTTTTTTAATTTAACATTTTGTGAATATAACAACTTCTTTTGATAATCAAAGAAAATGTATGGAACACAAAGTTTGCATCAATGTATTTCTTGCAAATAATGATAACCATTTGATGTTATGATGTTAACACTGTTCATGCACTGAAGTGCAGTTCCATTGTTATGCTATGTAAACATAATTTCTAACAGCACCAGATATTGAAATTCGCCTGAGTGGAGGTCCAGAACCTAATTTGGGCCGTGTAGAAGTGTACTACAGTGGTTACTGGGGAAGTGTTTGTGGTTACTACGACTGGGACGGCAGAGATGCTAATGTAACGTGCAGGATGTTAGGATACAGGTAATTCAAGGATATTAAATCTAGTTTAAAATAATACCCTATTAATAAAAACAAACAGCTGAGAGATATTAACAGGAAAAGAAGAAATAGCTTCACGTGCTGTTCTCGTCTTGTAACATTACGGACATCAACAGAATGTAAACTATCTGGAAGGTTCCCTTCGCTAAATAAACATTATTAATGTGACATACAAAACAATTTCTTCTCTTTTAACATACTAATAAGCATAAACAAAAATATCCAACTTTATATCAGATTAAAATGTTACTTATTTTGTAATGAGATCCTGATGGCGAGACCATATATAAATTGCCCAAAGTCCCCATTTAACTGTATTGCTGATTTTATAGTTACATAAACATTGATGATTTAAAATACCTCGCCTCTAACCTTTGCTATTTTTCTTATAAAAGGATAGATCTGGCATTTTCTATTTTCTTACTTAGCAAAAGTGGTAACTTTTTCGTTAATGCCAGTTTCAGGAATTGAAACATATCAAAGACATCGAATAAAGAGGAATTTGATACTATTTTCGTACTCGCCGTAAATAACTCAATAGTTTACATAAAGTAAAGCAAGCAAAGACACTTTCGATGTAATGTTGACGCCCATGCTAAAACATAGTCGACCAAGCCGGGAGACAGAATTGGCGAGAGATCGGCAAAACCTTGAAGACGTTCGACAGCATAGTAAAGTCAAAGGTAACATCGATGAAGCACTAGACAAATGGAATACGCTGAAGGTTGGAAATGGTTTGTCCACAACTAAGCGTTGCGAAGCTTTCGTGACATGTGAGATCTAAATCGGCTGATGGAACACTCACACATTCATAGTGAAAACATGACATTTGACCCAGTCGAAAATTTGGTCGCTAATCGTTGGTTTTTGCTCTCGTGAAATCTCGTGAATTCCCATAATAATGACACAAATATGGCCTCAGGCATGCTTCTGGTGAGAGAATAAGCAGACAGCAAAGGGCCTCGCACGTGTATTATTTAACATAAATATAAGTCAAAGACATTTTAATCTTTTCAACCAAATATACTTATAGTATTCATGATATTTTCCTGAATCAGTTTTAACCAAAGTTTTTCAAAAGATTGCGAGACGGTTACTTTAGTTTCTTAAATACCTGTTAGAAATATAAAGATTTTGTGTACAAACACTATTTTAAATATCTAAGGATTATGTAGTATGTCTATGAAATTACTTTAATCAGCTTTTGGCTTTTGAATTTTGCAAAACAATTGCTATAGATATTCTTACAAATCTACACTATTCTCATATTTATCTTTCAGTGCTGGTCATCAAATATATCGGACCACCCGTTATGGCCGTCTTACAGATCCTGTATGGATGGCAGGTGTAGACTGTAACGGTACGGAGGACAGTCTAGCTGATTGTTCCTTTGACGGATGGGGTCGAGTTGGTTATTGCAGTAGTTACCCCGCTAGTGTTTTCTGTCATAACGTGACAGGTATGTAAATAGCAATCACAGAATTTCAAATGATGTTTAACGTTTATTAAGGTCACTTAGGGTAACGACAATCCTTTATTATATATACATTTGTATCAATATATATATGCTCATCACTTTTAATGTAGCGCAAGATTTGTTAAACTTGATCTTAATCAATGGAGAATTAAGAATTATTATCGACACTATAAAAAAACGAGTTTCGATCTCCGGAATGGCAAATCATAAAACTCGAACGCAATTCTTTGAATGTTTTGAATATCTGAACAACTATTTTCTTCAGAAAAAAAGTAAACATTTTAACTTCTTATACAGTCATTTGTTTAATTAAAAAAGTCATATTTTTACATCACAAATAAATTACTAAACGAGATAATGTTAATTGATGAAGTAATGCAATTTACCAATGCTATATCATTGTAGTTTAATGTAAACATAATTTCTAACAGAAACAGACTTTGACATCCGCCTGAGTGGTGGTCCGGATCCCAATGTGGGCCGTGTAGAAGTATACTACAGTGGTTACTGGGGAAGTGTTTGTGACTCCTACGACTGGGATTACAAAGACGCTTCGGTTACGTGCAGGATGTTGGGATACAGGTAATGTACAGATATTTACCTTATTGTGCATTTTTCGTAAAATACTATTGAGTTGGCGGCATATAGAAAAGCAGCAGATATCGAGACCTACGTTGATGCCAACTTTTAACGTCACGGATATTTACAAATGTAATCATCACCATTGTGTATTCCTCCAGTAAGTATACCTTTCACTTTGTATCATTACATGAATGATCATTCCTTCATTTCTTTTTCGAATATTCGAAAAAAGATAGTTGTAGTGAGTATCTGCCAAGTGAAGTGGTATAATTATTCGTTAACTTTAATTTTGGCCCGGTAAATAAAAATAGAAAGGTACCCGTTACTCCGAATAACAAATAATACATGTCCAACTTCATTTGTCCATTTACGTCTTAATTGCAAAGAAAAAATACCAAAGTATCAATAGAACCATAATTTCAAATCTATACCACTTGGGCAAAATATGAACAAAGGAGGGATTTGCATGATCAGTGTCTTCTTCGTCTTCAAATCGGAATCCAGGATAGAGATAACGAAATAGTAAGGCATACTTTTAAGCATAAACAAAAATGTCCATCTCTATATCAGATTAAGAAATAACATATCTTATAATGAGATCATGATGCCGAGACCATGTAAATTGCCCATAGTCCCCATTTAAATGTATCTCTGACTTATTTACTCTGATGACTTAAAAGTGCCTTGCCTCTAACCTTTGCTATTTTTTCTGGTAAAAGGGTAGATCTGGCATTTCATATCTTTTTTACAAAGCAAATGTGATACATTTTTCGTTTATACCAGATTCAGGATTGAAACGTGTCAAAGATATAAAATAAAATGGAATTTGATTTCATTTCTGACGTGCCGTAACGTAAATATAAGTCATTGAAATTTTAATTTTTTCAACTCCGTATACTTAATATTTATCAACTTTCATGACTGCAATTTTAACCACAGTTTTCCAACAAATTACGGGACGGTAACATTAATTCTTGAAATAACTCTTCGGAATATAATGATTTTGTGTAAAAACACTATATTTAATATCTAATGATTATGTAATATGTCTATGAAATTATTTTCATCTACATTTAAATTTTCAAAAATATTTGCTAAAGATACTCTTACAAATCTTTTTTATGTTATATTTAATTTTCAGTGCTGGCCATCAAATATATCGCACCACTCGTTATGGCAGTCTTACTGATCTTATATGGATGGCAGGTGTAGACTGTAACGGTACGGAGGACAGCCTAGCTGATTGTTCCTTTGACGGATGGGGTCGAATTGGTTATTGCAGTAGTTACCCCGCTTGTGTTTTCTGTTACAACATCACAGGTAATAGATCTTAACGCATTCAGATATTACAACTGTTGTCAAAACTTCAAAAACAAGCCTAGATATTTTTTTTTCTATTACTGTTTATACACATGTATATTACAATTATGGAGATTGACATTTGAGAAAAATTTCATATTTCGACTTACCGAAGGACAAATTCTAAAATTATTACCGAAGTTTGCAAAATTTTGAATGTATCCAAAATACTTTTTTTGAAGTCAAATGAATTGAACATGTCCTCGGTAGCAATATTTTCAGGGAAACATATTTTTATCTGATGGAAGGAAGTATTTTTGAATAACAATGGCCATTATCTGACATCACAAATGCTGTATTTCTCATCGATAACTACGCAACACAAAAATTACATTGGTGTAATTCTTGAATAATATGGCAATCATGTGATATGCAGTTAGTATGTGTCATTCGCAGAAATACCATCCCATGGTTATGTAATGTAAAGATGCACATCAGCCGTGTACATGTACGTGTCCTTATTACGACAGTATGTGTACAACAAAATAAAAAAAACACACTTTGTATGCTTTCCTTCCATTGAGCATGATGGATGAAAACATGTTTTATATGTAGATCTTTGGGAGGGCAAACCCCTTTTACGGAAAAAAAAAAAAAAAAAAAAAACCCAAAAAAACATCGGCCTTCAAAGTGAAGAAAGATTTCCCATCAAAAAACCCATTTGTTGTAAGTTAGACTGTCCTAGTTCTTAATGTATGAAGTTATTAAAATTTCAATAATAAAAAAGTCGATAAAAAAACAAATACTGCCGTTTCTGATCTTTTCAAAATGAATCATTTACTGAACATTACATTGGAGGAAAACTTATAAACTTATATCTTTTGGGAGATACATCTTAAACAGAATTCTTTAAAATGTTTACAATCCAAAAAACAAGTTCCTTCTGAAAAGGGGTAATATATTAATTAGATTGATACGTATATATTGTCTTGAGCCTTTACATTTTGTGAATAACACATTTCTCTAACGAACAACTTTTTTTTTTAATTTAACATTTTGTGAATATAACAACTTCTTTTGATAATCAAAGAAAATGTATGGAACACAAAGTTTGCATCAATGTATTTCTTGCAAATAATGATAACCATTTGATGTTATGATGTTAACACTGTTCATGCACTGAAGTGCAGTTCCATTGTTATGCTATGTAAACATAATTTCTAACAGCACCAGATATTGAAATTCGCCTGAGTGGAGGTCCAGAACCTAATTTGGGCCGTGTAGAAGTGTACTACAGTGGTTACTGGGGAAGTGTTTGTGGTTACTACGACTGGGACGGCAGAGATGCTAATGTAACGTGCAGGATGTTAGGATACAGGTAATTCAAGGATATTAAATCTAGTTTAAAATAATACCCTATTAATAAAAACAAACAGCTGAGAGATATTAACAGGAAAAGAAGAAATAGCTTCACGTGCTGTTCTCGTCTTGTAACATTACGGACATCAACAGAATGTAAACTATCTGGAAGGTTCCCTTCGCTAAATAAACATTATTAATGTGACATACAAAACAATTTCTTCTCTTTTAACATACTAATAAGCATAAACAAAAATATCCAACTTTATATCAGATTAAAATGTTACTTATTTTGTAATGAGATCCTGATGGCGAGACCATATATAAATTGCCCAAAGTCCCCATTTAACTGTATTGCTGATTTTATAGTTACATAAACATTGATGATTTAAAATACCTCGCCTCTAACCTTTGCTATTTTTCTTATAAAAGGATAGATCTGGCATTTTCTATTTTCTTACTTAGCAAAAGTGGTAACTTTTTCGTTAATGCCAGTTTCAGGAATTGAAACATATCAAAGACATCGAATAAAGAGGAATTTGATACTATTTTCGTACTCGCCGTAAATAACTCAATAGTTTACATAAAGTAAAGCAAGCAAAGACACTTTCGATGTAATGTTGACGCCCATGCTAAAACATAGTCGACCAAGCCGGGAGACAGAATTGGCGAGAGATCGGCAAAACCTTGAAGACGTTCGACAGCATAGTAAAGTCAAAGGTAACATCGATGAAGCACTAGACAAATGGAATACGCTGAAGGTTGGAAATGGTTTGTCCACAACTAAGCGTTGCGAAGCTTTCGTGACATGTGAGATCTAAATCGGCTGATGGAACACTCACACATTCATAGTGAAAACATGACATTTGACCCAGTCGAAAATTTGGTCGCTAATCGTTGGTTTTTGCTCTCGTGAAATCTCGTGAATTCCCATAATAATGACACAAACATGGCCTCAGGCATGCTTCTGGTGAGAGAATAAGCAGACAGCAAAGGGCCTCGCACGTGTATTATTTAACATAAACATAAGTCGAAGACATTTTAATCTTTTCAACCAAATATACTTATAGTATTCATGATATTTTCCTGACTTCAATTTTAACCAAAGTTTTTCAAAAGATTGCCAGACGGTTACTTTAGTTTCTTAAATACCTGTTAGAAATATAAAGATTTTGTGTACAAACACTATTTTAAATATCTAAGGATTTTGTAGTATGTCTATGAAATTACTTTCATCAGCTTTTGGCTTTTGAATTTTGCAAAACAATTGCTATAGATATTCTTACAAATCTACACTATTCTCATATTTATCTTTCAGTGCTGGTCATCAAATATATCGGACCACCCGTTATGGCAGTCTAACTGATCTAATATGGATGGCAGGTGTAGACTGTAACGGTACGGAGGACAGTCTAGCTGATTGTTCCTTTGACGGATGGGGTCGAGTTGGTTATTGCAGTAGTTACCCCGCTTGTGTTGTCTGTCATAACGTGACAGGTATGTAAATAGCAATCACAAAATTTCAAATGATGTTTAACGTTAATTAAGGTCACTTAGGGTAACGACAATCCTTTACTATAAATACATTTGTATCAATATATCTTTGCTCGTCACATTTAATGTAGCGCAAGATTTGTTAAAATGGATCTTAATCAATGGAAAAATAAGAACTATTATCGAAACTATAAAAAAACGAGTTTCGATCTCTGGAATGGCAAATCATAAAACTCGAACGCAATTCTTTAAATGTTTTGAATATCTGAACAACTACTTTCTTCAGTGATAAAGTAAAGTAAACTTGTTAACTTCCTATACAGTCATTTTATTAATTAAAAAAGTCATAATTTTTACATTACAAATAAATTACTAAACGAGATAATGTTAATTGATGAAGTAATGCAATTTACCAATGCTATATCATTGTTGTTTAATGTAAACATAATTCCTAACAGAAACAGACTTTGACATCCGCTTGAGTGGTGGTCCGGATCCCAATGTGGGCCGTGTAGAAGTATACTACAGTGGTTACTGGGGAAGTGTTTGTGACTCCTACGACTGGGATTACAAAGACGCTTCGGTTACGTGCAGGATGTTAGGATACAGGTAATGCACAGATATTGACCTTATTGTGCATTTTTCGTAAAATACTATTGAGTTGGCGACATATAGAAAAGCAGCAGATATCGAGACCTACGTTGATGCCAACTATTAACGTCACGGATATTTACAAATGTAATCATCACCATTGTGTATTTCTCCGGTAAATATACCTTTCATTTTGTAACATAACATGAATGATCACTCCTTCTTTTCTTTTACGAATATTAGAAAAAAGATAGGTGTAGTGAGTATCTGCCAAGTGAAGTGGTATACTTATTCGTTAACTTTACTTTTGGCCCGGTAACTAAAAATAGAAAGGTACCCACTACTCCGAATAACAAATAATACATGTCCAACTTCATTTGTCCTAAATATCAAAAACATTTACGTCTTAGTTGCAAAAGGAAAATACCAAAGTATCAATAGAACCATAATTTCAAATCTATACCACTTGGGCAAAATATGAACAAAGGAGGGATTTGCATGATCAGTGTCTTATTCGTCTTCAAATCGGAATTCAGGATAGAGATAACGAAATAGTAAGGCATACTAATAAGCATAAACAAAAATGTCCATCTCTATATCAGATTAAGAAATAACATATTTTATAATGATATTATGATACCGATACCATATAAATTGCCCATAGTCCCCATTAAGCTGTATTTCTGACATATTTACTCTGATGACTTAAAAGTGCCTTGCCTCTAACCTTTGCTAATTTTTTCTGGTAAAAGGGTAGATCTGGCATTTCATATCTTTTTTACAAAGCAAATGTGATACATTTTTCGTTTATACCAGATTCAGGATTGAAACGTGTCAAAGACATAAAATAAAATGGAATTTGATTTCATTTCTGACGTGCCGTAACGTAAATATAAGTCATTGAAATTATAATCTTTTCAACTCCGTCTACTTAATATTTATTAACTTTCATGACTGCAATTTTAACCATAGTTTTCCAACAAATTACGGGACGGTAACATTAATTCTTGAAATGACTCTTCGGAATATAATGATTTTGTGTAAAAACACTATATTTAATGTCTAATGATTATGTAATATGTCTATGAATTTATTTTCAAATACTTTTAAATTTTCGAAAATATTTGCTAAAGATGTTCTGACAAATATTTATTATGTTATATTTAATTTTCAGTGCTGGCCATCAAATATATCGCACCACTCGTTATGGCAGTCTTACTGATCTTATATGGATGGCAGGTGTAGACTGTAACGGTACGGAAGACAGTCTAGCTGATTGTTCCTTTGACGGATGGGGTCGAAGTGATTATTGTTATAGCTATCCCGCTAGTGTTTTCTGTTACAACATGACAGGTATGTTTATAGCAAGCACATAATTTCAAATGATGTTTAACGTTAATAAAGGTAAAAAGGACAACTGTTTTTTGTATTAAAGAAGATTGCTCTTCTTTTACAAGGTATCGAAGTTGTCCTAATATGTATACTTGTTTTTCTCTCATTATTAATTTAATATCACATTTATTGAAATTGGCATTTGAGGAAATGTTTTAGATTGTGTTCCATGGAAAGAATAATTCTAAAAAAATAGCACCGAATTCTGTAAAATTCTGAAATTCTAAAATTTACTCTCTTTCCCAAAAAGTTTTATTTTCAATCAATTTACACGATGAATGTTCTCTAAGCCATACTATTTTGGTACACATCCTAACCTTGTGGAAAGAAATATTTTATTTTAAGAATTAGATTGTCACTTTTTTGACATCACAACTAGTGTGTTCATAGGGGTAGGGGTGGGGGAGGTGATACAAAACAATAGTTTCATTGATGTGTTTCTTTCATATCATGCCAACCATGTGATGTTATGAAGTAAATCCTTTTCATTCGTTGAAATGTTACCATGGTTGCGTTATGTAACGATTATTTATTGCAGGAACAGATATTGACATCCGCCTGAGTGGAGGTCCGGATTCCAATGTGGGCCGTGTAGAGGTGTACTACAGTGGTTACTGGGGGAGTGTTTGTGGCTACTACGACTGGGACTACAGGGACGCTAATGTAACGTGCAGGATGTTAGGCTTCAGGTAATGTACATATATCTACTTTATAAGGCCTTTATTATAAAATAAATGTATACTATTGAGTGGGTGACATTAACGAAAAGAGCAGATATCGCGTCCTACGTTGATGCCAACCTTGATCCTCTCGTACAGGAACAAATGTAGTCATCACAATTGTGTACTCCTTCGGTAAATACACGTTAAATTATTATTTCATAAAATAAATGAACACCCTTCGGTTCGTTTACGAATATTTAAAATAAGATAGATGTATCGACGAAGTATCGGCAAAGTAAAGTAGGACAGCTATTCGTTATTCCAACTTAACTTCTGCCCTGGTAAGTATAATTAGGAATTTACCCGTTGCTCCGAATAACGAATAATACACGTCCAACTTAATTTGTTCTTTACTTCCAAAATATGTACGTCTTAATAACAAAAGGAAAATACTAAAGTATCAATAGAACCATATTTTCAAATCTATACCACTAGGGCAATTTGAACAAAGGAGGGACTTGCATGATCAGTGTTGGGTTAGTGTCTTCTTATGTATCGAAGACACACGCCTTGTCAATCTGGATCAACGCCAAGTGTCATTACTTTAAATCGAAATTCAGGATAGAAACAACGAAACTATAAGGCATACTCAGAAGCATAAACAAAAATATCCAACTTTATATCAGATTAAGAAGTTACTTATTTTGTAATGAGATCCTGATGGCGAGACTATCTAAATTGCTAAAAGTCCCCATTTAACTGTATCGCTGATTTTATAGTTACATAAACATTGATGATTTAAAGTACCTCGCCTCTAACCTTTGCTATTTTTTCTTATGAAAGGATAGATCTAGCATTTTCTATTTTCTTACATAACAAAAGTGGTAAATTTTTCGTTAATGCCATTTTCAGGAATTGAAACGTGTCAAAGGCATAAAATGAAAAAAGGAATTTGATTTTATTTTCCTACGTGCCGTACATAATTCAATAGTTTACATAAAGTAAAGCAATCACAGACACTTTCGATGTAATGTTGACGTCCATGCTAAAGCATAGTCGACTAAGCAGAGACAAAATTGGCGATAGCCGTTCGACAGCATAGTAAAGTAAAAGTTAATATTGATGAAGCCCTAGACCAATGGAATGCGCTGAAGGTTGGAAATGGTTTGTCCACCACTAAGCGTTGCGAAGCTTTCGTGACATGCGAGATCTGAATTGGCTGATGGAACACTCATAACATTGTTAGTGAAAACATGACATTTGACCCTTATCGAAAATATAGTCGCTATTCGTTGGATTTAGCTCTCGTAAAATCTCGTCAATTCCCATAATAATGACACAAACATGGCCTCAGGCATGCTTCTGGTGAGAGAATAAGCAGCCAGCAAACGGCCTCGCACGTGTATTATTTAACATAAATATAAGTCAATGAAATTTGAATCCTAGGAAATTTCCTGACTTCAATTTTAACAACAGTTTTCCAAAAGATTGCGAAACTGTTATTTTAGTTTTTTTAGATAACTGTTAGAAATATAAAGATTTTGTGTACAAACACTATTTTAAACATCTAGGGATTATGTAATATTTCTATGAAATTACTTTCATCAGCTTCTTGCTTTTGAATTTTGCAAACAAAAATGCTATAGAGATTCTTACAAATCTACACTATTCTCATATTTATCTTTCAGTGCTGGTCATCAAATATATCGGACCACCCGTTATGGCCGTCTTACAGATCCTGTATGGATGGCAGGTGTAGACTGTAACGGTACGGAGGACAGTCTAGCTGATTGTTCCTTTGACGGATGGGGTCGAGTTAGTTATTGCAGTAGTTACCCCGCTAGTGTTTTCTGTCATAACGTGACAGGTATGTAAATAGCAATCACAGATTTTCAAATGATGTTTAACGTTTATTAAGGTCACTTAAGGTAACGACAATCCTTTATTATGTATACATTTGTATCAATATATCTATGCTCATCACTTTTAATGTAGCGCAAGAGTTGTTCAAATTGATCTTAATCAATGGAGAATTAAGAACTATTATCGACACTATAAAAAACGAGTTTCGATCTCCGGAATGGCAAATCATAAAACTCGAACGCAATTCTTTGAATGTTTTGAATATCTGAACAACTACTTTCTTCAGAAAAAAAGTAAAAAATTTAACTTCTTATACAGTCATTTGTTTAATTAAAAAAAGTCATATTTTTTCATCACAAATAAATTACTAAACAAGATAATGTTAATTGATGAAGTAATGCAATTTACCAATGCTATATCATTGTAGTTTAATGTAAACATAATTTCTAACAGAAACAGACTTTGACATCCGCCTGAGTGGTGGTCCGGATCCCAATGTGGGCCGTGTAGAAGTATACTACAGTGGTTACTGGGGAAGTGTTTGTGGCTACAACGACTGGGATTACAAAGACGCTTCGGTTACGTGCAGGATGTTGGGATACAGGTAATGTACAGATATTTACCTTATTGTGCATTTTTCGTAAAATACTATTGAGTTGGCGGCATATAGAAAAGCAGCAGATATCGAGACCTACGTTGATGCCAACTTTTAACGTCACGGATATTTACAAATGTAATCATCACTATTGTGTATTCCTCCAGTAAGTATACCTTTCACTTTGTATCATTACATGAATGATCATTCCTTCATTTCTTTTTCGAATATTCGAAAAAAGATAGTTGTAGTGAGTATCTGCCAAGTGAAGTGGTATAATTATTCGTTAACTTTAATTTTGGCCCGGTAAATAAAAATAGAAAGGTACCCGTTACTCCGAATAACAAATAATACATGTCCAACTTCATTTGTCCATTTACGTCTTAATTGCAAAGAAAAAATACCAAAGTATCAATAGAACCATAATTTCAAATCTATACCACTTGGGCAAAATATGAACAAAGGAGGGATTTGCATGATCAGTGGCTTCTTCGTCTTCAAATCGGAATCCAAGATAGAGATAACGAAATAGTAAGGCATACTTTTAAGCATGAACAAAAATGTCCATCTCTATATCAGATTAAGAAATAACATATCTTATAATGAGATCATGATGCCGAGACCATGTAAATTGCCCATAGTCCCCATTTAAATGTATCTCTGACTTATTTACTCTGATGACTTAAAAGTGCCTTGCCTCTAACCTTTGCTATTTTTTCTGGTAAAAGGGTAGATCTGGCATTTCATATCTTTTTTACAAAGCAAATGTGATACATTTTTCGTTTATACCAGATTCAGGATTGAAACGTGTCAAAGATATAAAATAAAATGGAATTTGATTTCATTTCTGACGTGCCGTAACGTAAATATAAGTCATTGAAATTTTAATTTTTTCAACTCCGTATACTTAATATTTATCAACTTTCATGACTGCAATTTTAACCACAGTTTTCCAACAAATTACGGGACGGTAACATTAATTCTTGAAATAACTCTTCGGAATATAAAGATTTTGTGTAAAAACACTATATTTAATATCTAATGATTATGTAATATGTCTATGAAATTATTTTCATCTACTTTTAAATTTTCAAAAATATTTGCTAAAGATGCTCTTACAAATCCTTTTTATGTTATATTTAATTTTCAGTGCTGGCCATCAAATATATCGCACCACTCGTTATGGCAGTCTTACTGATCTTATATGGATGGCAGGTGTAGACTGTAACGGTACGGAGGACAGTCTAGCTGATTGTTCCTTTGACGGATGGGGTCGAGTTGTTTATTGCAGGAGTTATCCCGCTTGTGTTTTCTGTTATAACGCCACAGGTATGTCCATATTCTTCAGTGAGTGGAACGATGTATTTCAAATGATACACCTAGATAAAACAAGAGTTATTTTGTAACATTGTTTAGTGTACAGAAGACAATTTATTTGTTTTTCACTTTAAATGATTTTCATTCTTTTGATCATCCAATGTCCATCTTATAATATTGTCTTCATATTATTTAATGTTGCAGAACAAAGATTAGTGTATATACACCTCGCGTGCTAATTTATTCCCCAGCCGTTTCCACATTATAAACGGAGCGTTATTTTACTTTCAGTTGACTCTACAATAGACATTCGTCTGATAGATGGACCAAACAATTATACCGGTCGAGTTGAGGTGTACTACGGTGGATATTGGGGAGGTGTTTGTTCTCACCGCTTTTCTTTTGGTGATAAAGACGCAGCTGTCGCATGTAGGATGCTTCAATATAGGCAAGGGCGCATTAAAAAACCGTTTTAAGTGTGGTTTAAAAAAATCAAATGTTTCCCCTCATATCGTTGTAAATACTGTAAAAACTAAGATGAAAAACAACTTATTAAACGTTTTAACTATTCCATCAAAAAGACTAAAACTAAGATGAAAGGAAGCATTGACTTTAAAAATTGCTGTTGATACTGAAAAGCCTAACAAAGTAAAAATTTTCTTATCTTTTCGTTTGTTTAGAACTCGCCAATACACACTTGGGATACTTTGGCTTGTTAACGATGAAACCAAACACTGTCAACGACAGTTACCTTTTTGTTTATGTGTTTGCAGTGATGGTCGGGCATTATCGGCAGTGTACGGTCTTCCTTATGAACCTATATGGATGGACAATGTACAATGTGATGGTACAGAGTCCAGTCTGGCTAATTGTCCTTTTGACGGTTGGGGAAATGTTGGCTACTGCTATTATCAAGCTTACGTCACGTGCAACAACGTATCAGGTAACTTAAATTTTCTTTATGATATTGTTCGCGTATTGATTTTCCAAAAAGACTAATTTATACAAATGTTTTATATTTTCATTATTTAACAATATAAAAGTTCAAGGAATACATATTAATCTTTGCTTATTTTTTTAAATATGATTTCATTAAACATTTGCTTTTTGTAACCGCCTTAATATTCAAATGAGATCATATTTAGATGATAATAGTTGTAAATACCATAAAATCGATATTTGTGAAATCTATTCTGTATATGCAATTACATTCTATTGATTATGTTTTTTTTGTTATTATTTTTCGTTGACATTTTAATAACATGTTTAGCACTGGTTAATATATTATTATTTGTTATTTATGAATATATTTTATTCAATGCTGAACTATAAATGTAAATTAAATGGATCTGTTATGTATCAGGTAGGTAAACGTTTACTTATATATCAGTCATAATGGTATCTTAGTCACTGGTCAGCGTATCCAGGTTTGTATACAGTTTCCAATTTGAGATATATAACAACTGATTGGTAAACATTTGTATATGTGTATATGTGTATTGATGTTTGTATATGTTTGTATATGTTTGTATATATATTACTTGAATATTAGTTTGAAGTATTGATCAAATGCAGATAATGTGAATACATTATAATTTTCATCTAGTTAAAAATGACTTTTCGTGAAATTTCTTAATACAATTTCAATATTATGTTTACTTGAATTTAATTTCTACTTCTAGTCTATAAAATTATATTTGGATTTATTTGTATTAAATTTACTTGAACTCAGATTGTTTATATCAAATGTAGTATTGACATGTTTAATGATTTTCACGTTTGTTTCAATCTTGCCATTTTACTGAATGATATTAAATGCCATTTACACTGAATAATTCAGTCAACTGTAAATTAGCAGTTATAATTCAAACTATATCATATATATAATTATATTTTTGAATAAATATAAAATGTTTAAAGTATTTTATAAAAAGATAATTCCTCATTTACCTTATGTTTATTTGAGTAATCCAGTTTGTTTCAGAACAGATGCCTCGGACTCCACCGGACAGTCAAAACCTATCTTGTATTGTATGTCACAACATAAATGTAGTCACTGCATACTGCCACTCTTGGCTTCAGCCAAAGCAGCGACTTTATTTGGCTTATGTTAACAAAAACAATTTTTGGAGGTGACACTAAATTCATTATTCGGACAGTTAAATTAAAGTAAATGTCCTGTTTTGATTGGGTTGTTTATTTAGTGATTAATCTTCATAGGTTACTTGAAGTAGTGTTCTTCTAAATCTGAAATTATACACGTTATGCACCTCCCTTTCTGTTTCTTCAATAGTTTAAACCTATTTGGATTTCCTACGTTTTGGCCCCTGTCATTACCGATGAGTCCTAGAAGAACGAAACATTTGCACGATGCAGCGTAATTCATTTTTGGCGTATTGTATAAGTCACCAAATTGTATCGGTGCAATTACATTTGTGTATCCAATGCTCACATTTCTTCAAAGGTTATGATTTAGGAATATTTATAACAAATGCAATGCTTCACGGTTTTTGATACTTTAAATGATATATTCTCTATTAGAAAACAAAACAACCCAATCACAACACCGATATTTATTCATTCCAAATTCGGGTCCCGAGTAGAACCACGTCCACGCCGTGGGACCTGGAAACATATCTATTGATATGGCGAAGAGTTCTAATTTTGTACTCAGTTTATTTTCCCTATTCTTTTTCAGGTGTCGTCATTGACATGATGTTGAGTTCGAATTTAAATATTTGTTCCAACTTCATTTTTAAATAAACTATATTTATTTTACAATGATTATGAAAAAAAAATCTTCAGCAGATATAAATCACTATTGTTGGCCCAGATGTTAGCGCACAAAGGTCTTAGTTTGACAAGAAACTGGAGTACCCGGTGAACACCCACCTGCCCGGTGAATCAAACACCTGTCATCTTGGTGAAAAGCGCGTACACTATGCACTGCGCCAATCAAATTGCCTGCTTCGGTATTATTTATTTGTAAATAGTTATGCAATGTTTTAGAATATGGTTTTGTGTTTCACTTATTTCATCATTTAAACAATTTCGTCCGTATACATGAACAAAATAAATCCATTCCTAAGATTCAAATGATTGTCTCCTGTTAAAAATACATTAAATTTCTTTACAAACACTGGTCCTTGTGTTTCTTCTTTATTGTTATTTACTTGTAGAATGTTAGTGTGCTGACAAATGGGCAGATAGCATCAAAAGATGTAATCTTTACTACCTCTTTAATTTTTATTTAATTTTTGTATCCATTAAAATATGTTTTCTATTTACAAACGTCTGTTTTTCAAACGTATATCAATCATTCTATGTGGTCCGCGCAGAGAGTTTTACTGTGGGAGGAAATTGTATTTGTATTTTTATAATTCAAAAATAGCAAAAAACAAAATATGAAATCATGGTCGATCAAAGGGAGACAACAAAGGGAAATCAGGGGACACCAAAGCAACAGGAAAACAAAAAAGATGAAGTTCTGGACCACATAATACACAGATATATGTGGATAGGGCATTCACCTTTCACTAAGACGACCGGGGTGCGACTGGTATTGGGTCACTACGTGTTTTTTCTCCTTTGTCCATGTTTTTTTCTCCCACACTATGATTATCTGTGCGCGCTGCCATGTAGGCCATCAAGAGCGATGAGTGTAAGTTAAGAAAAACTTATTTCATGATTGTTGTCAAAAATATATAGTTTATATCTCTCAACACCCTTATACATCAGCAGCCAACCAAGACAGCGATAACCGTAATAATGTTATCATTTGAGAAGTTTAAAAAAAACTACCTTAAGCTTTAATTCCTATATGTATGTTTTCTGAGGTGTAAACAGAAAAAAGTTTTCCCCTTGTCAATTTCTTTCATAATACTGAACATTTAAAACTTGGACAGCAAGATTCGATTCGCTACAGTTTAAATGCTGATACCTTGACACTTACGATGATTTTAATGTCAAAAGGTAAACTTTTCGCAGTGATTACAGTGCAATAATAAAACAAAATCAAATTTATTCGCATTATTCAAAATGGCTGGTCAATTTGCCTTTTACAAATCCTGTCAAATTAATTCAGCAATCTTAGAAACCTAGTTTTATGACACACTTTCAGATGAGTGTTTGCTTTTACAATTGACCACTATTTGTTTAATGGTATTGAAACCTGTTATATTAAATCAAAACGAGATTTTAACGTGAATTGAACTATAGGAGAGTAAATCATAATGTTGTCACCATTGTACCATACGTACACGTTATGTCAATATGACATCCGTGCCATTTCTGCTATGCTTGTTATCAAATATTGCCTTTATTTATGTTTGCGGAAAGAGTTTAAATTTCTATATAATTATATTAAAGTCCTAAAGCCAATGCCAACATGCATGATGTTCTGTTGATAAAACATGTCGCAATACAAAAGTTATAACAGTTGAACCAAAAGAGATGAGAGTTTCTACTTTTCTAGTCACTGTTACGTTTATCTGTAAATGATCATGATAAACCTGCGGATAACAACCTAATACTGCATGTGCAATTTCTGTTTGTGTGCATAAAAAAGAACAACAAAACAGTCTGCTGTTTACTGCAATATCATTATAAATTAGTATGATGCAGTGATTTTAGATCAGATACCATTACATGTAAAAACTGCGTATCATGTAAAGAAAGCATGTGTATTGATTACCCTTGAAACGTGAAGGCGCAGTAGTGTGTCATAGAATGACATAACTACTAACATAGAATGCATCACTGACTGAGTTCAGATATCCCATTACAGGATAACAAAAAACATTTCTAGATGTTGGTAATTGTATAAGGGTGATAGCTCTAACACGTGTATCCAAAAATACTTGCTGTATACTGTGAACATTAAAAACCCTGTCATGATGTTTTTCAAATGATAATCCAGGGGTTTATCAAAGACACAAAAAACACCCCGCACACTTAAAATTAGCTACTATAATATCTATTTCTTGTTTTTGCGATTATGTTGCCACGGCTTCATACATATGTGGTTACTGACTCTAAATTAGAGTCATAGGGCAAACCAAACTGAGATAACTGCAGATCAACTTGATCAAACTTGTGCAAACCTGCAAAACCTGGGACAATTGAAATATAAAGGACATGTGTAGGCCTACATAAACACACCTTGCTCTAAAGTAAGGACAATATCAACCCGCATCATCAAAATTGCCGTACATGTACACATTCACGTACTACAGAACTATTGAAATGCCTGATACGAAAAACAGCTTTTAGCTGTAAACCCAAATAACGAGTTAATTAACACAAACACAAGTGCAATAGGGGAGGTAACTCCAACACAATTAAGAAAAACACACGTGTGGAATATAATGGACTCGAGCAGTTACTCGACCTTTTGATATGATATAAATTGCGTCACAGGTTCACTGGGGTGACTACAACACGAATATATTACCGTATTAGGCAGACATATTCGGCGTAACCATTAGATTCCCCATAAGTGGCAATAACTTACATGTGTAACACGTGTGATAACTGTTGATCGCTCCACCAAGTGACGTCGAGAACATAACAAACTCATAAATGAACGAAGATATTTGAATTTGCAAAAACTAGTGAACAGTGATTATAGTAATAGGTCACATAAACATAATTCACAATGAAAACTACACAAACGATGACGATTAACAACAAAATTAAGAACCCAGTTACAAAATTCTGAACCTACGACGACGCTTCGGAAATCTGACAACATCTTACACCACTTACGCGAAACATCAGCAACTATTGGATATTTCATCGATGAAAATATTGTAGTTCCGTAAAGTATAAAGTATAAATTTCAGAAACAGCATCAATTGAGAAACAAAAACTTTTAAATTTGTTTTTGACAAAATATGATTGTGCTTTTCCATGAATTCTGAGATAAAAAGAGAACGTTATAATGGGAGATAACTCTGACAGTCATATGCCCAGCAACGCAGAGGTACCAACTCACAAATAACATAAATATGATTTAGGCTTAGACAAATTGATATAATTTTAGGTTTATCATTTTATAATATAAGCCGCTCGTTGATTGAACGAGGCACGTTTAACAATACTTATAGTTATTTTTTTTAACATCAACACATTTCGTTAGCTTAAAATGAA